TGCCCCGCCTCTCGCTTGAAGACGTGAAGCGAGCTATCCTTCAAGAGGATTTCCGCCGCCGTGAGTTGGCGAGTGCGGATGGCGCTGGGGCAGCGAGCATCGGCCGTGGATATGGTCGAGGAAGAGGCAGAGGACGAGGGGGAGGAAGGTTTGGTGGCAGCAACTTCGGCGGAGGCCGCAGGAGTGGCGGTTACGGCAGCGACGACAAGAGCTGCGGACGCGGTCGCGGCCGATTCGACGGCGAGTGTCACTATTGCCACAAGAGCGGACACATGTGGCGCGACTGCTACAAACTCCCTGATGGTTGGACCCCTGCTCAAGGCCAAGAGGGTAGAGGAGCAGGAGGAGGGAGAGGACGAGGCCGTGGAGGCCGTGGCGGTCGCGGTGGCGGAGCTGCAAACATGAAGAGCGGAGACAACGACAAGGACCCGAGCGACGATCGATACCCGGGTCTATTCTACTTCGTGTCGACGCAAGTACCGGCTGGTCCAGAGAAGGATGAAGGCTTTGAGGAGCCAGCAGCTGTGGGGAAGGTGACCCTACACCCTCTGGACTATTGGGTGATTGATAGTGGCGCTACCTATAGCATGACACCTCGCCCGGACTTGCTCACCGAACTCGAGCCGTCACCGGTGAAGCATGTCACATCGGCTTTGGGGCAGCGAGCAGAGGTGAAAGGCATGGGCAAGGCCATGTTCAAGGGTGCTGATGGGAAGATGGTGGGCTTCAAGAACGTGCTTTGGGTGCCCAGCCTTGCTGCAAACCTGATTTCCGTGCGGCGGTTGGCAAAGGCCGGCATGGACACGAACTCGAAGGGAGCCAAGACCTACACCGCAAGGCTTGGCGATCGAATTCTTTGGGACCTTCATGAGGACAGGGATGTCTACAACGAGATGTGGCAGATCCCAGTGGTCCCTATGCCTAAGGAGAGGCAAGTGGCAGCAAGCATCAGCACCAAGGATGGAGCGGTCGGTAGCGACGATGGCGCGAACGGTCGCGCTAAGGAGAATGAGCTCAAGAAGAGCAAACCTGGAGGGACCAGCAAGTTCAGTGAACCTAAGGAGAGTGGTGCAGCAACCAAGGAGCAGACAAATGGGTGCCCTATGTGGAGTGGCTAGGAAGGAAGCCAAAGGTGGATATGCTTCGGGTGTTCGGGTGCATGTGCATGGCGCTCGTGCCTAAGCATCTTCGGCACAACAAGCTTGGTGCCAAGGCGGTGTGGGCCGTGCACTTGGGCATGGCTCAAAACAGCAAGGGATGGCTTCTTTGGGACCCATTCACCAAGAAGTTCTTGGTGAGCAGGGACTGCAAGTTCATGGAGAACTTCATGTACAAGGATTGGAAGGCGGAGAATGAGGCGAAGATAGGCGTGCGGTTTGGGGAGGTGAAGAGTTCCGGTTTGGAGCATGTGGAGCTGCCTTTGGAGCTGAGCAGCGGCAGCACAACCACAAGGCAATCCTCCCTTGTGAATGGGGGAGAGGAGGCCAATGATGCAGAGGAAGAAGAGGAGGAGGTGCAGCAAGTGAGCGAGCGTGCACCGTCACTCCCTTCCCGTACTACGAGTGCTCCACGGATTCGAGCCACACCGCAGCAACGCCAAGGCCTTCAAGTCCCTGCAGCTGAGGAGGAAGGAAGGGGGAAGAGGAGAGTTCAACCCCCTAATAGGCTGACCTATGATGCGCCGGGAAAGTAGGGCAAGACAGCCCTGGCCGGAGCGGCAATGATGGTCGGAGACGACGAGGAGAGTGACTACGAGGAGTGTGCCTTCGCGTTCTTCTCTCCGGTGGAGATGCCGGGAGAACCAGCAACTCTCAAGGAGGCTTTGGAGAGTAGTGATGCTGAGGAGTGGAAGAAGGCCATGGAGAGTGAGCTGAAGAGCATCGAGGAGAATGACACGTTTGAATTGGTGGAGCTACCGGAGGGGCGTACGGCGATAACGTCCAAGTGGCTCTTCAAAATCAAGTCGGATGCCGACGGCAAGATCGAGCGCTACAAGTCTAGGCTTGTAGCCAAGGGGTACCAGCAGAAGGAGAAGGTGGACTTCAAGGAGCTGTTTGCCCCTGTGGTGAAGCCGACGACGCTGAGAACCCTATTCGCGGGAGCCGCCATCAAAGGATGGGTAGTAAAGCAAATGGACATCGTAACGGCATTCCTTAACGGCATCCTTGAGGAGGAGATTTTTATGGCGCAGCCAGAGGGGTTTGATGATGGTAGTGGCAGAGTGTGGAAGCTGAAGAAGGCCCTCTATGGGCTGAAGCAGGCCCCTAGGCAATGGTACATGAAGCTGCGCGAAGTGTTGGAGGGGATCGGCTTCACTCCCTCAACGGCCGATCACTCCTTGTTCATGCTTGGCGAGGGGGAGCAGAGGAGTTTCATGGTGGTTTATGTGGATGACATCCTCATTTTCTCACCCTCTTCTGACCTTGTGAAGGAGGTGATGCTGAAGCTTCAAGACAAGTTCAAGTGCAAGGCCCTTGGTGACGTGAGCTTCTACCTTGGGCTCCACATCGAACGAGATGTGGAGAAGCGGTGCATGCGGGTGCATCAACGAAAGTACCTGGAGGCATTGGCTGCCAACTTTGGGCAGAGTGAAGGCCATGTGGCTACACCCTTTCCCTCTGGGTTCAAGTGTGTGAAGGGACCAGAGGAGGAGAGCATTGGTGAAGAGGAGAGGCGCCGATTTCACTCGTTGGTGGGCAGCCTCATGTATGCGGCGGTAAACACCCGACCGGACGTCGCGTTTGCTACCGGGCAGCTGGCTAGGGTTGTGCAATGCCCTAATGAGGAGCAGGTAGCAGCTGGAATGAGGGTGGCCAAGTATCTTGGCCAAACACCGACCGTTGGGCTGCAATACTCGGCGGCGGCACAAAGGCGCCAAAAGGGCGCGGATGGTGTTGAACCCGGGCGTTTGTTCCTCACCGCCTACTCGGATGCTTCATATGCATCAGAACCAGAGGACATGACAAGTGTGGGAGGCTTCATATGCTGTGTTGATGGAGGCCCAACTGCTTGGGAGAGCAAGAAGCAGGTTGACCAAGCTTTGAGCTCGGTGGAGTCTGAGTACATGGCACTCTTCCGTGCCGTACGGGAGATTGTGTGGCAGCGGCGTTTGTTGGCTGAATTGGGGGAGGAGCAGCAAGGACCTACCCCACTGTACTGTGACAGCCAGGGTGCCATTGCTCTTGCTAAGAACCCTGTGTTGCATGGACTCACGAAGCACATGAGGGTGAAGTGGCATTGGACGAGGAGCATGGTAACCGCGGGTGAAGTTGAGTTGCGCTACGTGAAGACCACGGGGCAGCCGGCTGACATGATGACCAAGAGGCTGGTGGAGCAGCAGCATTGGAAGTGTTGCAAGCTGGCTGGGATGGCTCTGAACTGAGAGAGCAACATATCCTAAGGCCAACAATCCGAGGGGGAGTTTGTTGGTGCAACCCTACGGTTTGCACTCGGCTTGTTGTCCGTGTGCGTGAATGTGTGTGTGTATGGAATGGTATGAGGGCATGGGATAATATATATTTCATGCTTATAATTGTGTGTGAATGTTGAGTCATGATGTCGAGTGTGTGTGTCGAGTCAATAGCGAGTTATCGCTAGACGCGTGTTACGCGGTCGTTTGTGTCTCGCGCGCGGTTTCTATTTTGTCGCGCGCGGTTTCTATTTTGTCGTGCGCGGTTTCTATTTTGTCTTGTGTCGAACGTTCGGCGTGTCGCAGGTGTGTGCAGCAGACCCATCAAGAACTCAAGGATGAGTTTGTGATGAAGATCCCGAGCCTTGGTGTCAAGCCTCAAGTGATTTCGAAGCTTGCCAAAAGGGTACACCTCAAGATATTGAAGATAGTTACATTACTTTGTGTAGTGTAACATTTCACTTGGTGTAGGCCCTAGTGAAGGGTAGTTTCGAGACCCTTCGTGGTTGGGGACAGTGTGGCACTGTTCCACATCACTGTACCTCGGCTCTTGGGGTTTGTAGGAGCTGGGAGTCATTCCCAACTCGTAACTCTTCCTATCTTGTGTTCTAAGACTATAGTGGCTGCCATAGTACCGTTCGTTCAAACCGACGCTCTGTCGTCAATTCTTTATCAAATCGTGCAATCTAAATTGCTAATTGTAGACGACGAGAAGACGCTCCAGATCCAATTTGAATCAAGTCATTTGCAGCTGTGAGCAGAACGCTATCAACGTTTGAAGCCGCTGTGCAGAAATCCGTCTGTGCTCTCTATCTTTCGTTTTAGGCACATTCAAGCCTATTGTGACTATAACACAGTTAATGCAAAGGACAGTTTATACAAAAATATGTTTTCAACAGGATCATCCCTAGGTTTTGAGCCTGCCTGATGCATCAGATGGCGTGGTTTTTTCTGTGTGATGCATCAGAATTTCCTTCAAAACATTTCTGCTGTATCAGAAAATGTTAAAATTCAATTTATGATTGACTTTCTTAGAGCCCTCCTCATTTCACAGTGTTCTCTACCTTACGAAGGAATTGCAAAGAAGAACGCGCAACTTTTTGTCTCAAACTCGGATGCTCACGATTGTGAAACCAATCGCGACTAACCAGACTACTTCTGCATACAATGATGGGGTTAGGTAACGTTTCAGATAACTTGTCAAACTCCATTCACACACGAAACACCCTTCTACATTGGAACTCGGTATCAGACGGAACCAGAACAGGTTTCTGATTGATCAGATGAATTCAAAAAACATTTCTTATCAATCAGAAATTTCAAAAATTCATTTCTGGAAAATCAGATGAACTGGTAAAAAACTGTCTGAATATCGGACAGACAGAAATATTCTGCTTTCGACGACCCTGGTGCCACTAATGTCTTGATTTTGACTCATGTAAACTCGTTACATGCATCACAATGGGGACCGCGCTAATTCATGAGTACTCCGATTGATGTGGACAATGCTGAGGCATGCCAAATCTAAAATCTACATCAACAAGGGATCTGGTTGTTTGGACCGTCCAGAGAACCAACAATAAGGCCTGCTTCAGTTGCTACTGGATTGCAAGGCAGCTTCTGTAGCCACGAGGGCATCCTCGACCTCCATGGTGCACAAGTGCAGCGCCCTCACGTGCACCCGCGCCACACGCGCCGCTGCTCGCAGCAGCACAAAGAGGTCCGCATGCACCTCGTGGAACGGCATGCGCGCCCGCGGGCGCTCGTAGAACACCAGCTCACTGCCGCGCAGGGGCTGGTGGGCAGGGGGGTTGGTGCGGCCGAGGGGAAGGGGGGGGGGGGGGGGGGGGAATGGGGGGAGGAGGGAGGGGGGTTAAGTGGGTGGGTGTTGAAGGGCATCTGCGCCCGCGGGCGCTCGTAGAACACCAGCTCACTGCCGCGCAGGGGCTGGTGGGCAGGGGGGTTGGTGCGGCCGAGGGGAAGGGGGGGGGGGGGGGGGGAATGGGGGGAGGAGGGAGGGGGGTTAAGTGGGTGGGTGTTGAAGGGCATCTGCGCCCGCGGGCGTTCGTAGAACACCAGCTCACTGCCGCGCAAGGGCTGGTGGGCAGGGGGTTTGGTGCGGCCGAGGGGAAGGGGGGGGGGGGGGGGGGAATGGGGGGAGGAGGGAGGGGGGTTAAGTGGGTGGGTGTTGAAGGGCATCTGCGCCCGCGGGCGCTCGTAGAACACCAGCTCACTGCCGCGCAGGGGCTGGGGGGCAGGGGGAAAGGGGAGGGAAGGGGGTGGGGGTGGGGGAAGGAGGAGAGGAAGGGGGAAGGGGGTCACGTGGGAGGGTGATGATGGGGAAGGCAAGGCGTTCGAAGAAGACCAGCTCACTGCCGCGCAGGGGCTGGTGAGCAGGGGGAGTGGGTGGTGCGGCCGAGGGGAAGGAGGGGAGGAGGGAGAGGGGTCAAGTGGGTGGGTGATGAACGGCATGTGCGCCCGCGGGCGCTCGAAGAACACCAGCTCACTGCCACGCTGGGGCTGCGGGGCAGGGGGAAAGGGGAGGGAAGGGGGAAGGGGGTTCACGTGGGAGGGTGATGATGGGGAAGGCAAGGCGTTCGTAGAAGACCAGCTCACTGCCGCGCAGGGGCTGGTGAGCAGGGGGAGTGGGTGGTGCGGCCGAGGGGAAGGAGGGGAGGAGGGAGAGGGGTCAAGTGGGTGGGTGATGAATGGCATGTGCGCCCGCGGGCGCTCGAAGAACACCAGCTCACTGCCACGCTGGGGCTGCGGGGCAGGGGGAAAGGGGAGGGAAGGGGGTGGGGGTGGTGGAAGGAGGAGAGGAAGGGGGAAGGGGGTTCACGTGGGAGGGTGATGATGGGGAAGGCAAGGCGTTCGTAGAAGACCAGCTCACTGCCGTGCAGGGGCTGGTGAGCAGGGGGAGTGGGTGGTGCGGCCGAGGGGAAGGAGGGGAGGAGGGAGAGGGGTCAAGTGGGTGGGTGATGAACGGCATGTGCGCCCGCGGGCGCTCGAAGAACACCAGCTCACTGCCACGCTAAGGCTGCAGGGCAGGGGAAGAGGTTTGGGGGGGGGAAGGGTGGGGAAGGAGAGGAGTGTGGGAAAAAAGGGGGTTTGGTTGACTGTGCCGCATGAATTTTGGCCCAAGAGAGCACGCGGCAGGCAAGGCATATGACTTGAAATGGCGTTGGTAACGAGGCCACTTGGGTCCATGCATGCATTCGAAAGAACTCAAGCATGCATGCCTTCATGATGCCTCTTTCCAGGGTGACTCAGGCTTCCATGGTAAAAGCCCAGGCTCCATTGATTCGCATGGCCCATCCCCACAGAATCCCAATTACACTGATAACCTTACTCAAATAAAAGCTATGATACGCAACGAGAATGAGACTTTCAAGCACCACTCGACACCACCCTCATGACCCCAGGTCACAAACAACTACAATACCGGCATGGATAGCTCCTACAACACATGAGCAGGGCACAGCAGCCCCTCAGGCATGACAGCCCCTGGGGCAGAGGAGAACCTGAGGCGGCAGATCAGCACCTGGGGCGTCACAACAGCACCTGGGGCGGCACAGCAGCACCTGGGGCAGAACAGCACCTGGGGCAGCACAGCACCTGGGGCAGCACAGCACCTGGGGCAGCACAGCACCTGGGGCAGCGGGGGCGCCATGGCAAAGTCGCAGCGCCGCATGTCCGCTTCCACATCCTCCACCCGCACCGGGAACCACCGAGCCCTCTCCCCCCTCGCCCTTGCCTTCTTTCCCTTTCCCTCCTTTTCTCCCCCCTCCCTACCCCATTTCTGCTTCCGCCTTCCAATCTCCTCCCCCCACTCCTCGCCGCCTGAGTCCGTGTCCACCTGCTCCCCTCTCCCTCTTTCCGCTCCCCGGCTGCCCCACTCATGTGCCATCTCATCCCTCTCCACATCCTCACCACCCCGATCACCGCCCCCATGAGCGGGCGGCAAGGGGAGGGCGGCGTGCAGGTGGGCGCGCAGCTCGCGGTCGAGCGTGGAGGGGTCGGCGCCGCGCGTGGCGTCGGGGGCAAACACGTGGCGCTCGCAGTGCTGCAGGTACTGCCTCAGCTGCAGCGGTGCTATGAGTGGGGGGATTGCAGGGGCAAGGAACACGGGAGAGGAGGAGAGGGGGCGATAGAATAGCGGTGAGGAGGGGAAGGAGTGTGACGGGAAGGGGGAGAGGGGGGGGGGGGGGGGGTCATGGCAGAGGTTTAGAGAGGGAAGGAGGGGTGGAGAGTGAGCATCGATGCAAGGGAGACGGAAAGGGAGGGAGAGCAAGCGAGAGTCAGAACAGGAATTGGACGTGGAAAACCCAAAGGAAGGTGCGCCCTTCCCGCCCTCACTGCCCTTCCCGCCCTCACTGCCCTTCCCGCCCTCACGCCCCTCACTCCCCTCATGCCCCTCACTCCCCTCACTCCCCTCGCTCCCCTCACTCCCCTCACTCCCCTCACACCCCTCCGACAGCGACTCACCTCTTCCCTCTGCTCCATCCCCCCCTTCTTCCCTTGTGTGGCCCCTGACTGTATGGGTCTGCATGGGCATCTGCAACAGCTGCTGCCGGCTGCCCTCCACCGCCTGCACCACCCGCCGCACGTCCCACTCCCCCTCCTCACCCTCCTCCTCACCTTCCTCCTCCTTCTCCTCCCTCTGCTCCTTCTCCCATTCTTCCTCCCCCCGGCCCTCCCCTCCGCCCTCGCCCACCCTCCCTGCTAGGGAACCCTTTGCTGCCAGGCCATGCCCCCTTTCTCCCCTCTTGCGCTGCTGCAGCATGTGCTGCCACCCCGACACTGCACCCCGTGCCAGCGACACGGTGGCACGGGGAGCAGCCGCAGCTGCCTTGCACACCACCACACCACCCCCTGCTCCTGCTGCTCCGGCGGCGGCGGCGGGGGCGGCGGCTGCTGCTGCTGGCGTTGGTGTTGGGGACGCCCCTGTGCATGGTGCTGTGGTGAGGGAGGGCCAGGAGCCCAGGGCGAGGGCGAGCTTGAGGGAGATAACGACGGCTGCCATGACGTAGAGGCGCGTGGGCCATGCAGAGGGGCGCGGAGAGAGGTGGAAGCGGGTGAGCAGCGAGGGGAGCGGCGGGGAGAGCGAGGCGGAGAGGAGAAGCAAGGCAGTGAGGGGGCATGCAAGGCGAGGAAGAGAGAGTCGAGCAAGGCGCGCAGTGGCAAGTGGATGGAGGGGGTTAGGGATTAGGATTAGGGGAGATTGTGAGCGGCGAAAGTTAGGGGAGATTGTGAGCGGCGAAATTTAGGGGAGATTGTGAGCGGCGAAATTTAGGGGAGATTGTGGGAGGTGAGAAGCAGGAGCGTAGTGAGGGGGCATGCCATGCAAGGAAAGGCGAGCGGAATTTAGGGTGGTTGAGAAATGGGCAGAGGAAAAGAGGTGCAGCCATGCAAAGCAGCGGAGTGGAGTGGCAGTTGGTGATGGGTGTGGAAGCAGCAGCGTTGTCACTGCAACAGCACATCACAGTTGATGATGGTACGGGGCTCACGGCAAGAATGCCAAGAGCGCCACTCAAGGGCGCCACTCAAGGGCGCCACTCAAGGGCGCCACCCAAGGGCGCCACCCAAGGGCCTAGGGCCTCACACACGTGTCACACGTGCATCTTGGTGGTGACGGTGGAAGAAGCAAGGAAGCAGATGGCAGGTGCTGGCAGGCAGTGACGGTCTGGTGCTCAAAGAACGAATGACAAGGGCTTCAGTCAACGTGAGGGCCTCACTCACACGTGCATCTTGCGGGCAACGGCAAAGAAGGGGCTCGTCTGAAGCTTCTCCGCCAGAGCAAACCACGTCTCCCTCATCGACGCCTTCTCACTCCCACTCCCCCCCTTCCCCCTCCCCTCCTCCTCTCCCACCCCTTCCTCCTCCCCCTCTTCCCCTCCCATCCCATCCCCCTCCATCCCCTCCCCCTGGTCACGCCTCTCAGCCGCCTCGTCCTCTCGGATGGCCTCCAGCTCCGCTTCAAACTGCCCCCACTTCTTCCTCCGCCCCTTCCGAGCCCGCTTCCTCGCCTCCTCCCTCTCGCGCCGCCTGCTCCGCCTCGTGCCCGCCAGAATCGCCCGCAGCTCCCGAGCCCACTCGTCTTCATCCTCCTCCTGCCGCGCACCACGCGTGCCGTTGCCCTCTTGGTCTCTCCCCTCTCCACCTCCACACTGCGCAGCCGCGCCTTCCATTACCCCAAAGGCCCCACTCCCGGCCCCCATGCCCCACCCTGCCATCTCCCGTTCCAGAGCTTCCCCCCCTTCCCCTCCCATCTCACCTCCACCTCTTCTCCTCCTTCCACCCGACTTCGCTTCCCCTCCCAATCTCTCCTCTCCATTTCCCCCTCCTGCAACACCTCCTGCGCCCCCGTCCCCGTCCCCCCAAGCGTGTCCGCCTGCCCCCTCGCCTGCACGCCACAGCAGCCAGCAGCGCTCGGCAAACCCAGAGCGGAGCACGCCCGAGTGCAGCACGAGGCGCAGCAGGATCTGCCGCGCCACGCTGCTCAGCGCCGCTGCATTGGCAGCAGCAGCTGCCGCAGAGGCAGCCGCCGCAGCAGGGTCCTGCGACTTGCGCTCCCCGGCCTCCCCGGTGGGCCCCTGGGGCGGTGCGGGTGTGGGCGGGGCGAGCAGGGCGGAGAGCGTGTGGCACTGGCGGGCCAGCATGGCGTGCAGCCCCGTGCAGTAGTGCTCCGCTAGGGCGTGCGCCTAGAAGGGGGGAGGAGAAGATTGGGGGAAGCGGCAGTGACAGAGGCAGGCAGGCAGAGGGAGATGAGACGAGAGAGTGCTCTGCCGGCCAGCATGGCGTGCAGCCCCGTGCAGTCGCGCTCCGCCAGAGCGTGCGCCTGGGGGGGGAACGGGTGGAAGGGGGGGAGGTTGGGGTGCGGGATAGTGGGGTTGGGGAGGGGAGCGGTAGCGGAGGCAGCGGGGGATGAGGAGAAACGGGTCCTCCGGAGGCAGCGGGGGATGAGGAGAAACGGGTCCTCCCAACTTGCAAGTTGCAAGCGTACATGGTGTATCGAGCCTTGGCAGCAATACGTCGTTAGAAGCATGTGCGCCTGGGCAGGTTGGTGGGTAGCGGGGGAGGTGGAAGGAGGGGGGCGGAGGAGGGAGGGGGAAGCGGTAGTGGAAGGCAGAGGGGGACGGCCCCCTGGAGTGGCAGTAGAGCTTTGATAGAGCATGTGCGTGGAGGGGGGAACAGAGCGAGCGAGAGGGGAGGGAGGGCAGGGGACAGAGAGCAAGCGAGCGAGCGCACACGAGGGAGGAAGCATGAGCATGAGGTCACAACTGCTTGCCAGAGAGAGGCACGGCGATGAAGGCCCACCTGCACTTGCAGGCTGACGGCGCGAGCAGCCCTGGCGGCGTCCGCCGCAGCGACGTCCTGCCGCTGCTGGTGCAGCGCCACGTTGCTCTCGCGCACCACCGCCTGCGACCCCCCCATCCCTCCCATCCCCGTTCCCGCCGCGCCTCCGCCCGCGCCGCCCTCGGCGTCCTCCTCGCGGAACTGCTGCGACACCATCCCGCACTCGCTGCACCGCATCGCGCCCGTGTGCCCGTCCTGGTGGGGGGAGAGGAGGGGGAGAACGTGGGGAAGGCAAAGAGTGCGCTGCACCGCATCGCGCCCGTGTGCCTGTCCTGCCGGGCGCGCGCGGGGATGGGGGTGGGGGAGGCAATGGGACGCGCCGGATTGACGGATCAGTGCCGTTACAGACACTCCAATTAACACGGTGACGCCACGCAGTTGACACTGACGCACATCATGCAGTTGAAACTGTAACGCACACCTTCTCCATGCAGTTGAAACTGTAATGCACACCTTCTCCATGCAGTTGACGCTAAAGCACACGAGGCACATCTGCTCGTCGCTCCCCGCCATCGCTGCTGACCCGTGCCTAGCTGCCGCGTCCCGAATCTTGTTCAAGCCTTCCTAAAGGACGGATTCCGTCAGTTGCCCGAGTGCTTTCAACTGCCGTGCTCGAATAGATGCACAAAATTGTCAAATGTTGTTTCAGCCATTACAACTCCGTGACTGCGAGTTTGATAGTAAAATCCCAAACCCGAGGGTTTGGGTAAAAAGCCCAGACTCCCAAGGCCACGGGTACAATACATGAGAATTTTAATCAGTATAATTTTATGAGCTCTCATGTAGAGAGCTATTTATAAAGGAATAACGAAGTTGTGACTAGATGGACTGACGATGCTGTTACGATAAGGAATGTGCTTGGAATTTTTTATCGAGTGCAAAGAAAAATGGACGCGATGAATCGAAGGGTCGAAGACAGTTATCGAAGACGGTTCCCGATGTCTAATTATATATTTGTTAGTTTGTAGTCTAATTATATATTTGTTATTATTCTGTACCTATTCTGACATGCTATCATCATAGGAACGTTCGTGGGCTTTAGACATTCAACACAGTAAGCTCCTAGCTAGCCAGCCAGTTGTCAAACTACCGTATGGCCCTGGATATAGGCGCCGTCCGATCAAGAGCGTCGGCGCTTCTATCTGGAGCATGGCGCTTATGGCCAGAACTCGATTATGAGCGCCCCCCCTCTGGAGGGTGTACTTATTATAAGCGCACCCCTTTCACGTTGTGGGGGTTTCATTACGAAATATGAACAACAATTAACACTAAACATGAACATGATAAATTTTCACCTACAACATACAGTTTTATAGACACTAACACTGACACTAAACTAGAAATTGCTAAGGTTAGCATTTCTACCTAGAAAATCTACTCCTCGTCGGATTCGGGCTCGTGGCAGTTGTTGCCAAAGAAGCCATCGGCGATGATGGAATCATCGACGTCCACCTCCGCGGTCAGCTGGCTCCGCCTGTGCGCCATGGCGAGGCCGTCCTCACTTCCGTCAAGCGCGTTGCTGATGCCACACGTGAGGAAGGCGCGCTTGATGAGGTCTGCGGGCACTGCTTTCCAGGCCCGTGAGATCCACCTCACGACCACCTCTAGGGGTGGCTTCTTCAAGTTCCCTGTACCAACAGAATCACACAATATTTAGTTAGCGCAACAAAAGGGGGGACAATCATCTACGGTAAGATAGGGACTCGCGTGCCTATCATACCTGCTCTGGTTAGCTGTTCTTGGCCTTCTTCCTGAAACCACTTCTGATACTGCTGGCGGACGCTCGCCTTAAAGCTCTTGTTGATGCAGACGTCGAGGGGCTGTATCTCCGCCGTGCAGCCAGACGGGATGATCGACGGCACGCAGTTGAGCTCGCGAAACTTCTCCTTCACCCCCTCAGTGAGGTGACCGCGGTACGAGTCCAGTACGACCATCGAGCTCCGCGCATGCCTCCCGAACCCAGGCTTTAAAAAGGGCTTGACGCTCTCCTCAAGCCATCTTATGACGCCTTCCGCGTCCATCCAGCCGTTCTCGTGACACGCCACGACCACATCTGCATAACAACGAAGCTTCTGTAAGTTTCTCGTAAAAAACAGGACCGATGAAAAGCATACAAACAAGAATCATGACTGACCCGGCGGGAACACCCCTTTCGGCACGGTCTTCCGCTTGAAAAAAAACCCACGGCTTCAGCTTCATCCCGTCGGCCGTGCACGCCAACATCACGGTCACGCGCTCCTTCTGGTACCCCGCGCTCCTGATGGGCACCGACCGAACACCGGTTTGATCGACGGTAGTGGTGGCGGGCATCTCCAGCCACAGCGGCGTCTGGTCGGCGTTGATAATCCACGTCGTCTCGATGCCGCGCTCCCAACGCTTATCACGGACGAATTGCCAGAACTTCTTGCACTGCTCCGCGACATCTGCGGTTGAGCACAGTTACGGTTAGTGAGTAACAAGTGCATACACATGGCATAGAGAATAAAAATTATTCTTACGGGCGGCGGTTTTCTGGGCGACCTTCGTCTTCATTCGCACGCTGAGATTCCACCGCCGACGGAACCGGTCCGACCACCGTTGGCTCCTTTTCCACTTCACGAGGGGGTAGAGAATCTTCATGAACTCCCGGGACCACTCCTGCAGGCGGCCGACGGACACCGCAGTTGCCTTGCGTCGCCAGTCGAGCAGTCGCTCATACACCTTGATCTCCATCGGGCGGTACCACGACGCCCTGCCGCGACCGTGCATGCGGCACCTGGCAGAGTGGGCTTCCTTGAGGAAATCAGCGGCACGCTTCCAGTTGGCGAGGCACTTGCGGTGGATGCCACTCTTGCGAGCCAGAGCGCGCACCGACACCGCCACACCCAGCTGCGCGACCCACTTCAACTTCTCGGCGGCAGTATAGGCCTGGCGCTTGTGGTCGTTGGGCTTGTGCCTGGGAGAGGGGGGGCGAGAATCACGGTTCTGTGAAGAAGGGTGAGGTCGCTTTCGATTACGTGGAGGATAAGTTGGTATCGGGAGTTTCTCGGGGAGGCCATCGCGTGACCAGTATTCGACGCCGTCGTCGTCGTCACTGCCCGGCGCACCCTCGGGAAACACATCCACAGCAGTGCCAGCCTCAGTAGCGGCCTCGGTGTCGGCCTCAGTGCCACCCTCGGCGCTGGCGTCGCCCTCAGCACGCCAATCTTCATCGGCGTCTTGCACGTCGTCGTCAACGCCGACTGCAGATTCGTCCCACGTGAAATCTTCTGGCTGGCCCCAACGTGGTGCTGGCGCTGGACCGGGTACGTCAACATCGGGGCCCTTGTCATAATCCGGTTCCGACAGATACTCGTCGAACGCCGATGGGAGCAGGAGCGTGAGCACGGGGTTGTTGTCGATGTGAGGGGCCACTGGACACGGAGGAGACGGAGGAACAGGAGGAGCAGGGGGAGTCGGAGGCACTGGAGGAGCCGGAGGAGCAGGCGGCGCAGGAGGCGCAGGAGGCGCAGGTGGCTCTGGAGGGTCTGGAGGTATGCGGCTATACCACCCGTCAGCTGTAACACGGTACGCGGGCCTACTGGAAGGTTTTTTTTCTGAAGAGAAAATGAGTGCCTGTGAATTCCGCGATGGCTTCCGCAGCCAGGAGGGCGAGAACAAGAAGACTAAATAAAAAACTGCAACCCTGGGTGTTGAAATGGGAGATTGAAGGGGACCCCTTCTGGTTTGCGGCTCGGGGTCCTCGTCGATGACAGACGAGTACACCCCTGCCCCAACCCGCAGAGGAGGGTTGGGGGCACCATCCATGCTGCGCTGGCTGTCAAACATTATATATGTTGTGTTAGTTTAGGCTACAGTGGGTTAGCCTATAGGGGGTACACAATTCTAGGGTTAGGTACTTGTACTCTTTTCATTGCTAGTTCATTCATTCCTGTTCAGTGATTCCAACATGGTATAGAGCAGGTCCTTCCTAGGACCGAAATTTTCTAAGGGCCCACCACTACGTAACTACCTACCTACCTACCTACCCGTGCCCTAGGGCGCCTCGACGTGTCACGCCCCTAGAGGCCCCTCTTGACGGCCCCGCGCTAGCCCCGTTCAGGCCCCGTCGGCCCCTTTAAGGCCCCGTTCAGGCCCCGCGCTAGCCCCGTTTAGGCCCCGTCGGCCCCGTTTCAGGCCCCGTCGGCCCCACGCTAGCCCCTCTCAGGCCCCGTCGACCCGCGCTAGCCCCGTTTCAGGCCCCGTCGGCCCCTTTTCAGGCCCCGTCGGCCCCGCGCTAGCCCCTCTCAGGCCCCGTCGGCCCGCGCTAGCCCCGTTTCAGGCCCCGTCGGCCCCGTTTCAGGCCCCGTCGGCCCCGCGCTAGCCCCTCTCAGGCCCCGTCGGCCCGCGCTAGCCCCGTTTCAGGCCCCGTCGGCCCGCGCTAGCCCCGTCTCAGGCCCCGTAGGCCCCGCGCTAGCCCCTCTCAGGCCCCGTCGGCCCCGTGCTAGCCCCATTCAGGCCCCG